AAACCCCAAAACAAAAAAAAAAAAAAAAAAAAAAAAATTCAACAGAAAATCTGAGCGGCCGGAAAATGCTGAGTCAATCAAAATCATCAAATCTATGGACCAGATGAAAAGAAATGAAGAAAAAGGAACAGAGACTCAGGAAGACGTCTCTGACACAACTGCCAATCAGCCTCGGGTTCTTTTGCTCAATTCTGATGGAAATTACAAATCGGCTAAGTGCAGCTCTGTGGCAGTCCTGGTGTCACCACCTAACACTGGGTACCAACAGCTGCACAGACCTGGCCACTCACTGCTGAGCCAGCCATAACCGCCCAGTCCCAGCCTGTGCTGGCCACCGCAGGTTGACTCTGCTGGTTGCTGGTCTCCATTGCTGGGCTCCGCTGGCTGCTAGTCTCTGGAGCTCTTCCTGCCCACAGCTCTGAGTGTTACTGTTCTTTCTTTCGAAACAACTGTTCTGCGCGTACTACTTAGGACAAGAGTCCCAAGTAGATTCACAGGACTTCTGAGCCCACACAATTGGAGAAATAATTCACAATTAGGTTTATGGATCACCAAAGTGAGTCCTTTTTTAAATAGGGCTTGCGCTGCAGCACACAGGACAGTGCACAGGAGGGAGCACAAACCCTGAGAAGTGGCTGGGAGTGCTGCTTGTAGAGCAGCTTCAGGGCTGGAACTACAGAATCTTCTTGAAGGCTTGCTGTGAGTGCTGGCATGCAGGTCTGGGGCCCAGATCTCTCCCTCCCCACTCTGGCCACACCAGCACGCCCCTCCCTTCTTCAAAAAGGCAACAGTGGTGACTGGTGTGGCAAGAGTGGGGGGCTGACATCTGCCTGCGCTCGCGTTGGAGAGGAGAGTAGCAGCTTGGTGGCCAGGAAGAACACAGCGGCAAACTGTTCCGGACCACTGAGGGGAGGTGGGGAGAGCAAGCAGCCACTGGCCAGGCCACGCCCCCTCCCCAGCTGGGCAGAGAAAGATGGGAGAGTCCGGCTGTGACTCAGAAATACCAGCAAAGCAGCCAGTGTGCACGGTGAGGGCTACTCTGGAGAGAAAGGGGAGGAGGGGGGAAGAGGCACAGTGAGCTACCAAGAAAATGCGGTATGAGAAAATACTACATGTCTCAAATCAGAAACCTAACTTTACATCCTAAAATCTAAAAAAAAGGAAAGAAAACAAAACCCAAAGTGAGAAGAATGGAAATAACAAAGACTAGAGTGGAAATGAATGAAATAAAGAATAAAAAATGAGAAAAATAAAGAAACCAAAAGTTCATTCTTTGAAAAGAAAAAAAAAAAGACAAGGCTTTAGTTACATGGACCAAATAAAAAAGATTTAATTTACTAAGTATGAATGCAAGAAGGGATGTCATTAACATTACAGAAATAAAAAGACTAAAGTCTCTTATGAAAAATTACATGCTAACAAATGAAATAACCTACCTGAAATGGGAACGTTCCCAGAAATGCACAAACTAGTGAAACTGATTCAAGAACAAATAATCTGAATAGACCTCTCAATAGCTTAATAATAAAAATTATCCATAAAGTATAGCCCAGTCCAAATAGCTACATGGTGAGTTCCACCAAACATTTAAAGGATTAACACTAATCCTTCACAAATTCTTCCAAAAATTAGAAGAGAGAAAACAGCCAACTCATTCTATGAGGTTAACATCAACCTCGCATGAAGATATGATGAATGTTTTGTATGTGTACATGCACGCAGCCTCAAAAACTGAGTACTTCTTAGCCAAAAAGAATCCCATGGCATATTTAAAAATTCTGCATCAAGACCAATTAGTGCTTCCCTCCCTCAGGGGCATGGAGTTGGTTTAGGGTCTGACTGCCAGCCTGTGTTGTAGGCCATGCTGAAAGAACAAAGGACCACGATCATCTCAGCAGATGTGGAAGAAGCATCTAACAAAACCCTATACAGTTTCTGACTGAAAAAAATTAACAAGCTACAAACACAGTGGGATTTCCTCAACCTGCAGAAAGGCATAAATTTAAAAATCCACAGTTCACTTAATACTCGATGGAGAGACTGAATCCTTTTCTTCTAAGGGTAGCAACAACATAAGGGTGTCTGCCTGTCCCACTTCTACTCTGCATTGTACTGCACAGCCTGACCCAGGAAATCAGGTTACAAGAAGAAAGAAAAAGATAGAGTAAGATGTCAAGAAAGAAATAAAATGAACTCTACAAATGACTTTGTCTTATGCATGTAAATTGCTAAGAAATTCACAAAAATGTCCTAATTAGTGAATCCAAAGAGGTTATAAGATACAAGATCAACTATAAAAATCAACTTTAGGACCGGGGATTTACCTCAGTGGTTCCACCACCTGCCTTGCAAGTGCAAGGTCCCAAGTTCGATCCCTGGTACCACCAAAAAAAAAAAAAATCAACTTTATACAAGATATAAAAATCAACTTTGTTTCTATACAAAATAAAACAATTACAATAATATCAAAAGCGATAAATACTTATACACTTTATATTCAGAAATAAATTTAATGAAAGAAGTTAAGAATAAGATTTGGCCATCATAAGCTAGAAAACATTGTTGGAAGCAATTTTTAAAGATTTAAACCAATCAAATGTGCTGGTGCACAGCTGTAATCCCAGCACTCTGGGAGGCTGAGGCAGGAAGACTGCAAATTTGAGCCAGGCCTAGGCAATTTAGAGATTTAATGAGCCTCTGTCTCAAAATAAAAAATAAACTTTAAAAAGGGCTGGGGACATAGCTCAGTGTGAAAGCCCTAGGTTCAATTCCCAGTACTTCATAAAACATTAAAAGAATGGAGGCCAGGGATTTAGCTCAGTGGTTCCACTGCCTGCCTCACAAGGGCAAGGTCAAGAGTTTGATCCCCAGTACCACAAAAAAATAAAAAATAAAATAAAATAAATTAAATGAATGGAAAGGTTTCCCATGTTCATGAATCAAAAGACTACCTGAGATGGTAATAACTTCCAAAATAATCCACAATTCAATACAATGCCTATTGATTTTCAGCCTTTTCATAAGTCCATAAACTCATACTGATACACATATGAAAATGGAAAGGAATTCAAGTAGCCTTATTGAAAGAAAGAAAGTAAAAGATTGAAAGAAATCCAAGTTGGAGGATTTACACTTCCAAACTTCAAAACTACAAAGTTATAGTTATCAAGATATTGGGGGACGGGCACAAGAGTTGACAAAAATCAATCCAATAAGAGTCAAGTCCAGAAAAAAGTCCTTACAAACCAACCCTCAGATGGCTAACTGATAATTGACTAGAGCACCAGAGCACTGCAGTAATAAAAGCATCTCTCCAACAAATGCACTGGAGCAACTGGATACCCACAAGGAAAGCAATGGAGTTAGACCACTGCCTTCCACAGTGCACACAAACCCATTCAAAATGCATGAGGGCCTAGAATCGAGGGCTAGTCCTACAGGACTCTTAGAAGAAAATAGAAGCAAAATTCTGTATAAGTATGTTAGCCATTGATATATTAGATATAACATTGAACACACAATCACAAAAAAAAAAAAATTTTAATAAATTGACCAAGAAAACTACAGACCAACATCCCTGATGGAAATAGCTACTTACAAAAAGTGAAAATAGAAGGAAAAAGTGGAAACAAAGCTTTTGTACATAGGGAGGAGAGGGAGTTTGGGGGGATGAAATAAAATAAAATTTATTAATTAAAAAAAAGAAAATAGTTACAAAAATTCCAAACAAAAAATTAGCAGACCAAATCCAGCATCACTTGAAAAAGATTATATACCACGACCAAGTGGGCTTTATCCTAGGAATTCAAGGTTAGTTTAACACAAAAATAATTAATACAGTACACTGTATTAATAAAGGACACAAGCGTAATCACTGAAAAATGAGGAAGAGAAAATAGACTGTAACGGCTGACAATATTATTCACTTATATATCATTTGCCTGATTGTTTTACAAAACAGATTGTTAATCTCAAAAAATATTTGTATTGTTGTGTCAGCTTAAAACTCTGCCTGCAGTCCAAAGGATGACTAAGACTGGAAAAGAAAGGCGGACGAGACCATACCTAATGGGGCTTAACTGCCTTGTTAAAAAAATTTTTTATTGAGTTAGTAAGCAACACGATGTCTTTGAAGTGTCTCTAACAGCAGCGTGTCAGGATCAAAAATGTTGTTTATGTAGTTTTTGTTAGAATATTTTTCGCAGCAAATTAAGAGACCTACCCCACCCCACTCCGACAACGAAATCCCTCCGTAAATACGTCCGTCATCTCCTGGAACAGCAAGCCCAAAGCCGGAGGACTTCCAGCTTGCTGGACTCAGCAGCTTGGTGGAGTCAGCAGCGACCCAGACGGGTTCCAATGGGTTCCAACTTCCTGCACTCACCTACTCACGTTCGCCCTGGGCCCTCTCGGGCGCAGACTGCACAGCTCCTGGCTCACATTTAGCAGAGCAATCGGCTTCACCTCCTTGTCCTCAAAAGCTTTACAGCCCATTTTCACAGTCACCACAGGCCTGGCTCTGAGCTCCATGCTGGCAAAGGGGGTGGAGATGCTGGAGGCAGAGACCAAGCCTCCGTGTCAGGGGCTTTTCCGGGGGCTGGACGTCTGCCTTACTGCCCTGTCCTCCCGGCGGGAGGGTGGAGGTGAATCAGAACAGGAAGCAGACTAGACATGGGGATCACTAGGTCAGCAGGTCAACCGCAAGCTCAGTCTAAACTCACACAGTGGAGAACAGAGGATAAATCTGGAGGACACTTGGGAACTCTGGTGACTCCATATGTACTGATGAGTCTGGCTCTCGTTGCTGAATGGCTGAGATCTTCCCTTCATCGTGCCGTATTTCTAATTCCCAGACTACTCACGAGCTGTTGGCTGTGGCATTAAACGCAGATCGTTTCTCACCATCTCATTTGATGAGAAAACTATTTTCAACACGTTCCTAACTTCTAAGATTTCTGTGTGTTTATCCGACATAATATTCTGTAGTGGACTCACAATATGAAAAACAAAACCCAAGAGTTTACGCAGGAAGAGAATGACGCTGTTCCCATTAGAAAACCCTGTAGCCCACAACCAATGGCTCCACACCATGGCCTTTTGTATAACCCTCTTCTGCCCAGACATGCAGGACTCAAGGGGATCTTAGGACTCACCAGAGTCCGGCAGGGGTTTATAGTTTTGAGAAGAATGGTGTTTCCATTTCATATGGTTGTGGCTCATTCAGACCTCTGGTACCTCGTGGGTTGTGGGCATGCGTCCTTAACTGGAACCTCAGGACAGAGCAAGTGGTACTTCTCAGCAAGCTTTCTTTCTGGTCACATTCTAGGCTAACATATTTGTTGGTTGTTTTGTCTCGTTTTGACTCAGTGGCTCAGGACACAGCTCTTACATTACAGAGCGTAATGACCATCTCCCCCCTCCCCAGGTCGCGCGACTTCCTTGGAAACCTCATTTTCAGACGAGTCATGAAGAACCAGTGTGACTCCAGTCCAAACTCAAAGATTGTGAATCAAGAGAACTCTGTGATTTTTTTTTCAATAAGCCTGGTAGAAAATGCATTTTAATGAAATCTTTTCCAGTTCTCTCCTTCCTAGGTCTTCAATAAAAGTCACAGTTTGATCACAAGTTGAGTTTTTTCTTTCTAAAAGCCAAAATGGATCGACATAGATTAACACAGTTTCCTCCACCCTGAGATCTGAGTTCGTGCCCACCTCATCTCAGGCTGGAGAAGACAGATGTGACCAAAGGGACTCCTTACCTGGGAGGAGAAAATGCTCCAACTTTGGAAGTAGGCACAATGTTGACACAGCAGTATGAAGACTTTCAATTTCTCTGTTTCTGTTTCTTCAACAAGAAAACATAAATCACTGTCCTCGGCCCACAGAGTAGACCAGAGGATTAAATGATGGCACATCATTAAAAGAAGAAGCTGGGCGTCGTGGCGCACGCCTGTAATCCCAGTGCTCGGGAGGCTGAGGCAGGAGGATCGCTGTGAATTCGAGACCAGCCTGGGCTATATAGTGAGTTCCAGGTCAGTCTTAACTACATAAGTGAGACCCTGTCTCAAAAAAACAAACCAAAAAAAAAATGACTCAAGTGGTAAATTTTTGTGTTATGTGCTATGTCACAATAAAAATGAATGTGTAGAGCTGAAAACAAATGTACAAATGTACAGGATTGAATGAAGTAAAAATTACCTGTACCGATTTAACCCTTAAAGACTTCTAGAAGGAGCATCATAGCATCCTTTCCTGTGTGGGGTTCACTGGGAAACCCTGGGCCAGCGCCTCTCTCAGGATGCTGAGGTCGGCTGTGTGCAGGAGAGAGCTGAAGGCTGTGTAGAGGGGCCTGAGCCTTCACTGACCAACCTGAGGTACAGCCCTCAGGAATGAACTGAGTTTGTAAGTCAAGGGTCCACTGTAGGACGAGTTTGTAGAGAAATGTAGAGTATGTTATTTAAAACTAAGGGGCAAAGACTAGAAACCCAGTAGACAAAAATGGCCAAAGCACAGGGCTGGACTCCATCTTTTTATCCTTGTTACTCTCACTACTCCTCAGTGTAGCTGTACCCAGAATACCTCCACTGTCTCCTCCCGGCTCTGCCCGCTTCCACCACTACCGTAATAACTTTCCTTCCACCAACCATCTTGCAACGTCCTGGCCACCCAGCAGCCACCTTGTGAAGTCAGTAAGGTTTTACTGAGGAAGGCAAGGCCCGTGTGTATGGACTCGACCAGCAAGGGACAGCTGTGGAGCACGATGTGCCGTGTACACGTTGCCCGTGTGATTCTCGTGGCGTGTGTCACGGATATGCCGGGTGCCCTCCTGTAGGGGCTTCTGGTTTTCTACAGGCTCTGTTAGATAAAAACAGATCATCACTGATGACGTCTCACTTCTCTTGCTGTGACTCCATCCTTTCTCATTGCAGCTCAAGGATTTCAAATGCCTGATCTCTTCAAATCCAAACCATCACTTCCTCCTCCCTTCTCCTGGGGACCCTGGTCTCTCTCCCGTGGTGTTTATGTCATTCTGGCTTGCGTTACAGCTCAAAACATCATCTCCTGCTTGCTCAGATCATTCCCCTGTCTCCCAGGGCACCAGGCACAACAGATACCATCAAACACTGGTCAAACAGAACTGTATTTCATTGTTTCATTGATCAAACAGGAAGCTGAGCTCTAAAAAGCCAGTGGCATGGCATGAACCCACAGGACAGAAGAGAGGACCTTGGACCCTTCCCAGTACATCACCATCTGCCCCGAGGGTGTTCATTTTCCAGGAAAACAAGCAAAGGACTGGGAACAGGCAAGAGACTCAGCAGATGGCAATGCAAGGTGAAACAGCTTAAACCTATCAGCTCCAACAGTCACCGAGGGACAGCAGGACACTCGTCCTCCCTCCCTCTTCTCATCTGTGAAGCTGGGCAGAGGGGGAGAGGGGGGCAAAGGAGAAGGGTTTGGGAAGCTTGGCTGCCTGGCGCCGAAGTGCCTGCGTGTGTGTCTGCTGTTGTCTCTAATTTGGGGTTCACAAACGGGGGATGAGGTTTGCAATGACCCAGTGAAACAAAGTCCTCCCCATTTGTTCTCAAAGTTCTTCTTGTGTAAGCACGAGAGCATAAAGGAAGAATGACTCTACCACACGTATGTTCTCGCAGCGTGAATCTGATGGCTTCAGCGCCTGCGGCACCTCATGGTAATCCTGTGACCCCGGGAGGCCCGTCTCCAGTGCCCAGCAAGTCCACATCATTCCTGGGGGCCCCTGGTCCGGTGCCTGCCCAGAGGGCCTTGAGGGAAGTCACAGTCTCAGGGGTACATGATACCTCACCCCGCAGCCTAGCAGGGCCCAGGCTGGAGAGGGCAGGGGAAGGGCTGGGAAACGACCTCAGATCCAGCAAAAATGGCCTGGCCTTGCCAGACCCAGGTGTATTAGAAAGTTCAGCGGGGAACGTCACCAGGGGCCGCAGGACAGGCCTGGCTTATTTTCAGTAAATGTTTAATAAAGCCTGCAATCAATCGGAGGAACTGGTGCGCATACACCAAATGGTGATCATTTCTGATCCTTTCCCCCATCTTGGTCCCCTTCCCCCGCTCCTAAACGTCTGCCTCTCTGACTTCCACCATCTCGCCTCTATTTTACTTTTTTAATGTATTTATAGTTTGACTTCCCCGTGTAAGAGAAATCGTGTGACTCTTTGGTTTTCTGCGGCTGACTTACTTCACGTACCACGAAGGTCTCCAGAGCCGTTGCTTCTCCTGCAGAAGACTGGGGTTCATTCTTCGTGTCTGAACGCCTTGTGTTCTCCTCAGTTCACCTGCAGACCTGCACCGCGGCAGCCACCGGAGTGAGCTAGCGTGAGCTGCTCGGCTTTAAGCATGGATGTGCACACGGCCCTACAACACGAAGACTGCAAGGCAAGCTCCCAGAAAACCAAGAACAACCCAAGGCTTGCATTTTGTGATTTAGGTGTTTTAGGAAAAAGGAAAAAAAAAAAAAAAAAAAACAGAAACAGGGGTACCTAAATGT